CTACTTTTCTTCCTTTGCTCAGGCCTCCTTACTTGTCTATTAATTGCTGCTTGTCTCTGCGTGCTTTGGGACGAAACTTATTATCCGTTACATTCCCTTACCCTCGGTCTCTACTACATGTTTCCCTACTTGCCTTCCTACTTGTCTCCAAGTGGTCTCCTTATATATCCTCTCTCCACTACCGTGCTTCTTTCCACGTCTCCAGCATGTGGGACTTTTCTACTCTTCCCTTTCTTTCCTTACTTGTTCCTCTAGTCTTTCCCAGTGCCTTCTTCACTTCTCTCCTCATTACTGTTGTTCTCTCTGGGTGCTTTTGGGACACAGGACTTTCATTGTCTCCAGTTTGTTTCCCGATTTTGCCACATAGTCGAATATTGGTGGCTTTTTTGGGTGGATATATTGTTTAGTATTGATGATTTTGGGGGTCTTCAAAAAAGCAATAAAATTTTCAAAGAGGGAACCACACAAGAACACCTCCGAACTTCCTCTCTCCCAAAAGTCCTCTGAACCCTCTTTTTTGGTGCTTTTCATTATTTTTTTGAATATTTTGCATTTTTTTTGAATTCAAAATAGTCAAAATATTCAAAAAAAAATAGCAAATACAAAAATATTTTTTTCAAATTTCCAAATATCAAAAAAATTAGCCAATACAAAAATATGTTGAATTTTGAATTTCAAAATTTCCCATATAATGAGCGCCCACAAGTCCTCTCTGACCTCTTTTTTGGGTGATTTCCTTATTTTTTGATAAGTGAATACTTTTGATTTTTGTTGAATTTCAAAAAAATCCACACAAATCCGCCACTCAAACAAATATGCAAAAATTTAAGCCAATATTGTGAATAGTTTGAATTTTTGAATTTCAAAATATTCAAAATATCAAAAAAATTACCAATACAAAAATTTGTGAAACCCTATTTGAATTTTTTGAATTTCAAAATATCACAATATCAAAATATAATGAACTCTTCCGAAAAGTCTCTCTGACCTCTTGTTTTGGTGATTTCATTATTTTTAAAAATATTTTGAATATTTTTGAATTTTTTGAATTTCAAAATATTCAAAATAATTCAAAAAAATTAGCCATAATACAAAAAATTTGCAATATTTTGAATTTTGAATTTCAAAATATTCAAAATATTCAAAAAATTTAGCCAATACAAAATATTTGATATTTTGGGAATTTTTTGGAATTTCAAAAATATTCAAAATCTTCAAAATCTCTGAACTCTCCCAAAAGTCTCTCTTAACCTCTTTTTTGTGATTTCATTATTTTTAAAATATTTTGAATTTTTGAATATTTGAATTTTTTGAATTTCAAATATTCAAAATTTCAAAAATTAGCATACCAAAATATTTTGAATATTTTTGAATTTTTTGTAATTGCAAATATGCAAAATATTCAAAAATTTAGCCATTACAAAATATTTTGAATCTTTTGAACTTTTTTGATTGCAAATATCAAAAATTAGCCAATACAAAAATACTTGGAATATTTTGATTTTTTTGAATTTCAAAAATTTCAAAATATTCAAAAAAATTTAGCCAATACAAACATATTTTGAATATTTTGATTTTCAAAATATTTAAAATATTCAAAATATTCAAAATATAATGAACTTCTCCTAAAAGTCTCTCTGAACCTCTTTTTTGGTGATTTCATTATTTTTTGAATATTTTGAATATTTTGATTTTTTTGAATTTCAAAATATTCAAAATATTCAAAAAATTTAGCCAATACAAAAATATTTTGAATATTTTGAATTTTTTGAATTTCAAAATATTCAAAAAATTTAGCCAATACAAACATATTTTGAATATCTTGAATTTTTTGAATTTCAAAATATTCAAAATATTTTAGGCCAATAACAAAATACTTTGAATATTTTAAATTTTTGAATTTCAAAATATTCAAAATATTCAAAAAATTTAGCCAATACAAAAATATTTTGAATATTTTGAATTTTTTGAATTTCAAAATATTCAAAATATTCAAAAATTTAGCCAATACAAAAATATTTTGAATATTTTGAATTTTTTGAATTTCAAAAATTCAAAATATTCAAAAAATTTAGCCAATACAAAAATATTTTGAATATTTTGAATTTTTTGAATTTCAAAATTTCAAAATATTCAAAATATAATGAACTTCTCCCAAAAGTCTCTCTGAACCTCTTTTTTGGTGATTTCATTATTTTTTTGAATATTTTGAATATTTTGAATATTTTGAATTTTTTGAATTTCAAAATATTCAAAATATTCAAAAAATTTAGCCAATACAAAAATATTTTGAATATTTTGAATTTTTTGAATTTCAAAATATTCAAAATATTCAAAAAAATTAGCCAATACAAAAATATTTTGAATATGAATTTTTTGAATTTCAAAATATTCAAAATATTCAAAAAATTTAGCCAATACAAAATATTTTGAATATTTTGAATTTTTTGAATTTTCAAAATATTCAAAACATTTAGCCAATACAAAAATATTTTGAATATTTTGAATTTTTTGAATTTCAAAATATTCAAAAAATTTAGCCAATACAAAAATATTTTGAATATTTTGAATTTTTTGAATTTCAAAATATTCAAAAAAATTAGCCAATACAAAAATATTTTGAATTTTTTGAATATTCAAAATATATTCAAAATATAATGAACTTCTCCCAAAAGTCTCTCTGAACCTCTTTTTTGGTGATTTCATTATTTTTTAAATATTTTGAATATTTTGATTTTTTTGAATTTCAAAAATTCAAAATATTCAAAAAATTAGCCAATACAAAAATATTTTGAATATTTTGAATTTTTTGAATTTCAAAATATTCAAAATATTCAAAAAAATTAGCCAATACAAAAATATTTTGAATATTTTGAATTTTTTGAATTTCAAAATATTCAAAATATTCAAAAAATTTAGCCAATACAAAAATATTTTGAATATTTTGATTTTTTTGAATTTCAAAATATTCAAAATATTCAAAAAATTTAGCCAATACAAAAATATTTTGAATATTTTGAATTTTTTGAATTTCAAAATATTCAAAATATTCAAAATATAATGAACTTCTCCCAAAAGTCTCTCTGAACCTCTTTTTGGCGTCTAGGAGATTGCTTTCAATTTGAAATGGAATCAAATAGTCAACGGTCAAATAGTACATGAAGGTCCATCGTACATATACATATATATATTTATATATATATATGTAATGTAGTATCATTTAAATCAATATAACATAGTATATTGTGATATAATGTAGTATAAAATATAATTTGGTTTCATAGAATTAAATGTAGCTTAATATAGTATAATTGATTTTTGTTAACATAATATAATGTAATAAAATTTAATATGATACAGTAAAATATAATATATTTTTATCCGATACAATAAGATAAAATATAATATAATATTTTTAATATTATATTACATTTTATTTTAATATAATATGTCATATTATGTTTTATTGTGCTATATTTTATTTTATTTTATTATATCATATTATATTTTTTTGGTTTGCAATGCAATGTAACGTGATGTAATGCAATGTAATTATATGTATATATATATATATGTATATTTATTTATTTATCCAAGGAAACGACCCTGCGGTAAGCGGTAATCAAACATGGGTTGTTGGAAAATCTCCTATTTATAGATTATTTTCCACCAAAACCTCTATTTATAGGGAATTTTCCGGCCACATTTGATTACCAGAGGGTAGTTCTTGATGAAAGTAGTTGGTGCCAGATGAGAACTGGCTGTTTGTCTCATTTTGGTGGTTTAAATCTTGAAGAATTCTCGATCAACTCCCCATGAATGTTGCAGTACTGTATATTGCCATTCTTGCTGTAGATCGCTGGACCATGTTGGACCGTCGAACAAAATCATTCCTACAATATCTCAAAGCCATATTGGCTACATAGATGTCCTTTTCCCATTGGTTGGTTGATTAATAGAGGGGTTTGAAGAAACCCCTTTAACAACAGGTTTCTATGATGATAGATGGGATTAACCAGCTCCCGGCCCCTCTATTTTTACCAAAAGGACATTATTGATTGGCTATAGATAACAACTCTGGTGCAGCTGGTTCTTGAACCCCCGATTGGTATGGAAAATGGTATCTGTTGACCCTCAAATAACTGCTGGGGTGTGCTAACCCATCCCCAAAACATTCTGGATGTCCATGGATCAAAACATGTCTCTGGTTACAAAGGACCCACAAATCCCACCTGCTTGTGGCAGTGCGTTGTTTGTTGATGTTTTGCCCTTTGGAGGTTTCAGCCACTTAGAAACAATATCATATGTGCATTTATTCTTCAGTTATATGGGGTTTTCTATGTTTTCTTAAACTGGGGGATCTCCAAGTCACCATGGGTTTCAATATCAACATGTCTTCAAAATTGGATAACTTGCGGTAACCCGGCAACGGAAACCTCTGGACCTGTTGATCTGCAGGAAAGATGAGCCCAAGGCGCTGCTGGAAAGGTTTGAACATGAGCCGGTGGACTATTGAATCATTACCCTCTGGTAAACAGCCACATAACGAACTGGAAAATCACCATGTTTTTTTGATGGGTAAATCCACTAAAAATGGCAATTTTCAATAGCAAACTGTTAGTTTACCAGAGGGTATTTCAGATCTTTGAAACCGTTGGATGTTTGTATTCCAGTGATTTGTGGTGAATGTGATCACTTGTATCACTTCATATCGTTTGTGGCCCAAAACCTCGATATCCAGATGGGTATTTATATGTATTTATTCAATGGGAATTCCAGGATCCTAAAATGGAGGTACTGTACCATATAAGGCCATATTTTGGGGGGATATCCCCTTACATAGGCCTTATATATGGTAGGTACCTCCAATTTAGGATCCTGGAATGGCCATTGATTTATACACATCTCAAAATACATAAGATTCCCTGATTCATCTCTATTCCCTGCCGTTTTTTTGGGGGACACGAAATCGCGGCCGTTGACAGCCTCGGCCACATGAAAAGGAAGCCACCGAGAAGGATCACCAAGTGAAGGACGCAGGGATATGCCGGATATTTGGGATATCATACAACCCATAAAAAACATACCCTCTGGTAACAGTTAGCTATTGAAAATGGCCCATAAAGATGGTGATTTGGGGAAACAACAAATTGTACCATTTGGAATAATGGATACTTTTCTAAAACACATATTTGGGGTGTCCTAAAGATCAGGTGTGGTGAGAGTTGAACCATCATTTTTCATCCCACTGAGATGTTGTCCATTCCCTAAACGTCTTGGGATGTGTGCACCAGGCAAGTGTCGCATAAACTTCCAAAAGACAGACCCCAAAAACCATGCAGAATCACCCTCATGGCTCTGATTTTTCATCCCAACATTTTCCGAAACCTACCCCCAATGATGGTTGTTTCCCCCTGATTTCTCCTTGATTTTCCAGTTCTACTCCCTCCAAAAACTCAAGCCCCAAGACTTGGAGGAGATGCAGCTGCTTCCCAAAGCAATCATCTACCTCGGATCCGAAGAAGGCTTGAAGGATGAGAACGCCATTCCGCAGTTCACCAAACAAGTGGGCAGGCTGGGCAGCGTGACAAATTTATGGGGAAACCAAGGGAAACTGAGATAAAATTCGGGATGTATTCATTTGCAAGGCGAATGTTAGTTACATGGGCAGATATGATTTCTATGGGCTGACAGGATGCCACATGATGCCACAAAATCGATCCACCTTTGCCCGGGTTGATCCCGACTTTCGTGGCTAAGCGTCAGAACAGAAACCGGGTGTTTTTGCTGGTAAAGATCATGCTATGTTCCCCTGAACCACCTAGAAATGCGACCAAAGTTTGGTGCTGCACCGGAGGTTTCTCCTGACCCTTGGTGCTGAAGTGGTTTTCAAGACGCTGACGGATGCCTTCAGTAAGTTGGAAGGCCGTGTTGCCTATAGAAAGGCCCATCTTGAGGGGATCTGGAGTTGAAGGACTTGGATGCTGATCCATCAGATCGATCTAGTGAGATTGGAGGGGACAGTTTTGCATCATTTCTTTCTAGATCAGATGGACCAAAACCTGATTTTTCCAGATCTTTCCAGATCTTTCCAGATTGTCACCAGATGTTTTTCGGTGTTGCTATTGCTACATGCCACACCTGTTTCCACGTCATGTTTCCGCGTCATGTCGACCAGTCCCTGGTCTACATGGCGCACGAACTCTTCACCAAGCGAAAAAGACACATCACCTTTGAGGCGGCCGGGATCAGAATGCTGGCTGTCAAGATGTTTGCACGGTTGGGGCTTGTTATACCTATGTACATATGAATATATTATCATATATATATATACATATATGTACCTGTATTTTGTTCTGTTCTTTTTCCCCCAAATGATCTGGACAATCGGATGATATGCAATGATATCTACATGTTGGATCATCATCATCATCATCATCATCATCATCATCAGTATGAGCATTAGCATCAGCATCAGCATCAGCATCATTTCAGCATCATTTCAGCATCATTTCATCATCATTTCAGCATCATTTCATCATCATTTCAGCATCATTTCAGCATTATTTCAGCATCATTTCATCATCATTTCATCATCATTTCAGCATCATTTCAGAATGTATACCTGCCACTTTTCCAAAATCAAACATCATCAAGCATTCCATCTCTCAGACTTTTCCATCCCCATCCCAGGATAAGAAGCAATGCGTGGAAAAGTTCCTGCTTCCCATTGGCCCCGACATTCGAGCAATGAGGGCCAAAGAACGGGAGGCCTACTGCCTTCTGGTCGGCTTCTGGGGAAAACGCCAGGCCTGGCGGCCTGGGCGATTGGGCGATTTGTTCTTGGAGATTTCTAGGCCTGGGTGGCTTTAAACTTGGAGACCCAAGCTATGACCAGCAAGCGGCTTACCACCAGATTTTTCGAAGAACAGACATTTCCATAACGGCTTCCCCTGAAAAATCCATGAATTTTGTGTGTCCTTTGATGCCTTGACAGGTGGTATCTCCAACAGACTTGAAGCGTATCAAAGATGCCTGGGACGTGGATGAAGAGGGCGACTTTGATGAGTTCGAAGAGGATCTGTGAGGTAAATCTCCTCTGCCGTCATGCTGCGAGAAAAAAACCGATGTCCACCAGACTGCCAGATGATGTCAGATGTATGGGTCAGGATTGTCAAGATTTGATGTGAAGAATGGCCTTTTCCCTCCGGTGTCCTCAAACAATCTCAAAGATGGCTGGGAAATCGCAGAACTAGATGGAGATTTCTAGCAAAATCATCATCAAATTGAGGATTTTCCAGCAAGTCATGTTTGATTACTGGGTAGTCAGGCCCCGAAGGTGTTGATCACAGCCATGGCTGCCATGGCTGCAGTATGGCCATCTTGGTTCATGATTATATGGGGTTGTACTATACCTACATTGGACATTTTCATCCAACATGAGAATATAATAGAATATATGTTAATCAAACTATTAAACTACCTGAGGAGTCTAATATATAATCCAATATATTGGGAATATGAATCCATTGTCAACTGTCAAGCTGCCTGAAACTTCCAGGAGAAGAGGGAACATAAAGAGAGCATAGAGGAGGCTGCTGTGTTGGGCCGCCAAAGTGAGAAGTGGTCACTTCAGATGTCTACCCCCCGACAATCAAACAGAATAGCAATCCTCCATTTGTAGAACTTCATAAAGGATTTTTCCAGCGAACTAAACCTCCAGAAACATAGGTGATTGAAACCATTGCCATGAAACAATTACCAGAGGATATTGAGAGTTGCCTCAGTTGAGACTGGAACAGTTTCTTCTATTTACCCTCTGGTTATGACGTTCACAGGGCTAGCCATGGTGATTTTCCATGGCCCTAATCGAAATAGATGCGAATAGATGGGCCATACCGTTCTGAAAATAGCATGGGTGGATCTTTCCATGGCGAAGTGTAAACGTCATAACCAGATGGTACCAGCAATCTTGAGAATTTTGCTCGGTGACCCATGGTGATTTTATCGGAAGAAGCCTGGAAATCCAAGAAATGAGGATCCCATGGATTCAAGGGACTGATTTTGTTGGGATAAGACTGGCGAATTTTGACATTTCTGAATGTATTCAATATGAATAGAGGTAATATATGGTAATATCATATTTCTAAATAGAGGTAATATGAATTTCTAAAGATATTCAACATTTCTATTTTTTTTTTAAATAGAGGTACCCCCAGTCATCACCCATGTTATTTTTTTGGATTTTCCCTTATAATTCATCCAGCTATTGGATCTAAAGGGTAGCCCATGTATGGAACCCCACATATCAGCATATATCAACACATATCAGTTAGATTCGACCGGTTCTCAATAAATGATGTAAGACCTCCACTTTTCTCGCTTCAACTGCCTCCAGATTTGGCCAGACTTTGGACGGACGTGAGGCGTGGTGGTTTTGAGGATCAGGGGTTGAAATTGGCTGGAAAAAGTGGGATAGTTTCATAGCTTCAATACATTTTAGTACCACAAATTCTGGTCAGCACATGGCTATGGGATCAATACCTATAAGTACCATTTTTAGGGTGATGAACATCCATTTACCAGCTATTTTGAGGTTCACCAGGGGTACAAGGTTTTGACCCATCCCCACATAAGAAAAACAAATTCCGGAGCCCATTTGGGTCAGCAGAAAATTGAGACTTCTGAGCTATTGACCAATTGAAAGCTTCGGTAGGGGTGGCACAAAAGAAAGAGGAAGCAGATTTTTTAAAGGCATGCGCCGCGACAATTTGCTGATCTTTTGAGACTTCACTGAGAAAAGTGTTTTGACTTCTTCGATCAATGCAAAAAAGCCTCACTCTGTGAACAAATCCGAAGTGTTTTTTGCTAGTCATCCCTTTCCTTTGTCCTAGAGATGAATTGGCCTTCCAATGAACACCATAAACTACAGACATTGCTGGCAGTTTCAAGTCCCAATCCCCAGAACTGCAGCTTGGGATATGATTCAAAAAGGCGGCTAAAGGGCTAAAGGAAGAGAAACTCCATCCGCCAAACATCGGATGTGTCAGATTCTTGGGAGAAAAGGAGAGCATGATTTCATATGATTTCATGATGTTTGCGGGCAAAAACTCAACAAATTGGTTGACTACATGAATTACATGAATATAATTACATCATTTTCCCCCTGAGCATGGCAGCGAATTACCAGAAGCCCAAATGTTGCGATTGCAGGCTGTCTACCGAAGCAGGTGTCCCTGGCTTTGGGTTGCTCTCTGAGATGGGAAAACCATGGAAAACCAATAAGAACCCACCTAATTTTCCCAAAAATGGTTAGAATAAACCCATATAAACCTTTCCCAATTCCACTTTTATCCTTGGGCTGACCGCATTACACAAATGTTTGACAATATTTGAGGATATTTGATGATAGTTGATGATCGTTGATGATATTTGATGATGTTTGGTAGTTGTAGATATGGAGGTTTCCTAAAATGGGCGTAGCCCAAATTTCATCATCCAAACAATCCACATCCCAAAACTGGAGAAAGAGAGAGAGAGAGATATATATATATAGTTTATAAATGTTTATAATGTAAATATGTCATGTATACTTCTCCATTGACTTCTTATGTTACTGACTTGTAGATTATTCTCACATTATTAGCTTCACATACTTCAAATATGACTACAGTAGACTTGTATTCAATTACTTCAATACTTATTGACTTTTCCATATATGACTTCTCCATGATTATTGTTTGGACTGTCACCAGCGTTGAAGAATTATCCTAAGACCTGGGAGTTGAACACCTGAGTAACCTGAGTCACCCGCAGCTGAGTTCGGGCTCGGGCGGCCCGACACCACCGCGACCAGGAAACGCGACCAGGGATTCCGAAACGTTTCCGCCATGGAAAAACTCCAGGAGCAGTTTGACTCGGATTCCGAATCAGGATCCAACTCCGCCTCGGGCTCCTGCTCGAAAGCAAAAGCTCTACCTAGCTTTTGGGAGGCAGGAGCCCCTGGCTGTTCAAACATCGGCACTTGGATAGCTTGGGATGCCCTAGGTTGAGAGATAGCCAAAGCGGCCAAACATGCTGGAAGCGGGATATAATCAATGGGAATTCCAGGATCCTGAAATGGAGGTACTGTAGCATATAAGGCCATATTTTGGGGGGATATCCCCTTACATAGCCCTAAAAAATAGGCCAAAAATATATGGTAGGTACCTCCATTTTAGGATCCTGAAATTCCCATTGATATAATGGGATATATCATGATATATCTCCAGTTTCGGAAGGGGATTCGTCTCGAGAATCGATCTAAAACACTCCCCATGTCCGGTTGCATCCCCAGTTCGATGGTGATATCCCTGCCGTGTTGGCAGATTTTCTGAGTTTCTGAAACCCCGTTCGAGCTCTGCTGGCACCGTTCCTGGTCAAGTCCCTATGCCAGTGAAAAGAAATCAGAATTTTAAATAAGGACACATAGTGATTTAGTGATTTAAAACCATCACAATATTTAAAAGTCCCTATTTTGAAAATCCCTATTTGTAGGTTCAAAACTATCCCAAACAATCAAAACTATCCTTTTGATATAATCTTCATCCATATTTTTACCCTTTCAGCTCAGAATTTCCCAAGTTTTGAGGACACAAATCCAATATTTGTTGGTTCAATCTCAAGCTTTGCTCCTGAAATCCAGTTTTTTCTGGTAGCATCACCATCCTGCTGCCTTAGTCAATTTCTTCCTCTTGTTCATCCTGATTTCTGTGTTTTTTTTTTGAATTGTATAAATCCATCAAATGGTCAAAAAAACCTGATAGTCAGTTTTTCACATGGCTTTGCCTGAACATGTTATACCTGGAGTATCCTCCCAATTTGTTTAAAAACAGGTTCATCAGTTTGTCCTCTGAAAATTGCCCAGAAATTGCCAGTCTCACCTCCCAAAGCTGGACCTCAGCCATCCAGGCGTATCGTCTCCTTGGGCAGTGCTATGAGGCCGAACATGCCCGACCTGTGACTCCTGTGGCGCCTTCGGTGTCTCGGTGGGTCCAAAAAAAAACCATGGGATTTTACGTATGATTTGAACCCAGCAAGGGGGATTGGACGTAGAAAAGAATACATACTTTACTTCATGTGATCCCCACCGTTGTACATATCCTGATATTATATATATATATTATAGATATATATTCTTACATTCTATCTGACAGACATCTTCCCGGACATTCTATCTGACGTATCATACCGGACATTCTATCTGTCGTTGTACCTGGCATCATACCCGACATTCTATCTGATATTCTGACATACAGTACTATTTTACATCTTCTCTGACATCCTATCTGACGTTGTGCCTGGCATCATACCCGACACTCTCGGATATTCTGACCTACTAACATCTTCTCTGCTTCTCTGACATTTGACATTCTATGTGACGCTGTACCTGGCATCATACTCGACATTTTCTTTGATATTTTCTGACATACTATTTGACATCTTCTCTGACATTCTATTTGACGTTGTGCTTGGCATCATACCTGACATTCGATAGTCAGGCCCCAGACAGTCTGGCAAAATGTTCACAAGTGGATTTAGCTAAGTCGGCTAAGTGATCCTGCTTTCTCGTGGGGTTTTGCAAAAAGGATCTTTGGATGATGGTTTCTTTACCCTCTGGTAAACTAACATAACTATGGAAAATCACCATTTTTAATGGGAAAATCCACTATAAATGGTCATGTTCAGTCATGTTCAATAGCTACGTTAAATTACCAGAGGGTATTTTTTTCAAACAGGTGTTCAAACAGGGGCGGAGCCGAGCTGGCAAGAGTTGAGTTCACACATGTTCTCACTGTAACTTCAGCAAGGCGCGCCTGCAGGAATTCATATGTTGTTTTCTTGCGTGCTTCACATTGCAAATTCTCCACGCAACAGTCGCAAACGAAAACAGCATTGGGTTTTAGTTTGTTGAAAGGAAATGCGGCGTGCATGAATGTTTGAAGAATTGCCTCAAAATCCATGCTGTTGTTTCCAGGCAACTTTTTTGCCAGAGACAATGCATCAAAAATAATTCTTCAGGACCCATGAGTTCGCGCTATATATTGCACACAGATTCAACATTTTTTTCTTCACAGACCTCGCAAAAACAAAACATATCCAGAAACCCTTCACCGCAGACAGCTCCGTTCAACCCTTTATATTTCCATGTTTTTCCCCAAGCAGTGTGGTCACAGTTGGGCTTCTCACGGTAGGGTTCGCATCGTGGCCGGTGCCGCGCAAGAGTTATGTGGAATTTCCGGGAGAATCGGCAGCCCCTAGCTGTGCAAATTTTAGCATTTTCAGGTATGCCTGTGCCTGTGCTATGCCCATAAATGAAGGAAAAGTATGGAAAAAGTATCATATGTGAGGATCGATCCCGATGATCCCCCACATAATTCCCAATAAATCCCATTTTTTTCATAACAGTTGGTATGAAACCCAGTTATTGCTAGAATCACCGGTGACATCACCATCCATCCCAAATCTGGGCAAAAAACACAGCCGTTGTTGCCGAGGCTCCCTCGGGACCCCGGCCCTTGCAGTTGCGCTTGCCCCGAGAAGAGATCGCGGACAGCGGCGTTCCCGGGGCCGTTCCCGCCGTGCCGGCCATTGTGGGTACAGCATCGGTGCCGCCGATCTGGCGGAACCAGTCCTTCCAGGAATCCCTTGGGGGCAACAGCGACAGGCAGCACCGTTTTGGGCTGAACATTGGAGAAAATGGGAGAACATTTTATGGGTTATATGAGTTATATGGGTTCTATATATTTCAAGTTGGGATGGGTTTTTGAGAAAAATCCGGGGTAAAATGATGATTAAGTGATTAAACAATATTAAACATCGAATTTTGGGATATCGTATTTTCAGGCAAACCCATATTGGATGGGACAATCTCTTGGAAAGTCCTAAGCATCGGGAATAAACACATGTTGTACCCATAGGAACAAGAAAGCGAACACATCGTGCATGGGATGTTTTGGTCCGTCACATGTGATGGTTCAATTGCCCCACTTGGGTAGTCCATTAGTATACCATCCCAGTCGCAATCGTGGGAACTTCACACAGATTTTTGATGAAGTCCCCCATGATTTGCATCCTGTGGATTTTTGATGTTTTTTGATGATTTTTGCCTCCAAAAAAAGGAATCAACATGAATCAACCATCATCCAGTGCCCAGCGGTTGCCTTTCTATGTTTGTTATGTAAAATCTGTCACTCAAATCGCCAAGATTTCGAAGCCCCAAACAACATCAAACAACGGCAAGAAGACATCCCTCATGGTTCGGGATGGATATCCAATCCCAGAAACAACACCAACACTATCCCAAGAAGAAGTCAGAACTTTATGCATTGGATGGATTGGATGGATTGGATGGATTGGATGGATTGGATGGATACTAAAACTAACCTCCTGATCCATCATATATTATATATATATCATTTTACCATTCTAAAATATGATATAGTACCTCATCTAACCAACAAATCTCCAATCAGCACTTCCTGATCTTCAACCACAGGTTAGCACCAATGACTTCGTCGATTAGTCGCCGTGACAGTCGACCATCCTTGACCCTGACGGCGAAGGCAGCCGAGGAAGCGGTCGCCACCCAGCTTCGGAAATTTCGTTTTTCAACTCACGGCGCCAATGTGGAGGTTTCCTAAGTCCTAGGGGTACCCCCAGTCATCATCCATGTTAGTAGGATGTTCCCTTACAAACCATCTATTTCGGTACCCGCATTTTCAGGGTTTCCCCCTGCGAGAGCCCCCTGGTCAGGTTCACCAAAGATCGTAGATATGCACAATGCAAGTTCACTAATTTGGGGGCTTCTAATGAATCAGGCACCACAGGAGCACACTGATGGATGGCCGCAAGTCTTTGTTCAGGCAGCGATCAGGTGCTGACCCCACAAAAGGGGGATGGATCCGAAGCTGGCGGCGTGATTTGCTGTAGCATATGTGGCAAGATGATCAACAGCCAATCTCAGATTTTCATGGCTTCAAAATTTTCTTTTGATCATCAGCCAGGGAAAGTACCGTGTGCAACCAATAGACATCACTTTGGTTCTGCTGGAGACGCATAGCCCTTTTTCGGCGGGCCGACTGAAAAGTGGGATCATACACAATTCTCCAAACACCCTGTTGAAGTGCTCTCAAAAGTGGCTCATGTTTCCAAGGCTTAGTGAGCCCATCGGCCATTTCCTGTTCACCATCAACCCACTTAAGTGTGACCCTAGCTTGCTGCAGCCGTTCCTTTATGGCAAGAAGCTCAATGGCGGTTCTCTTTTCCTCCATCTGAAGTCCTGAAGTTTCAACCTTGACAATTCCATCGAAAATATTCCTAGCATCGCAGACCATGGTGGACTCAAAAGAGGACAAATATTCATCAGTATGTCTCAAATCAATTTTCTGAGTACACTCAACATCCACAAAAGCCAGTTTGACAAATTCATGGTAGTCCAGGGCATTGGCACTCATTTGGGCTTCAGCACTCGTGGAAGATCGAGCTACCCTACGAAGTCTACGGCTAGTCCAATTCAAAACACAAAAAGAAGTCTTTTCTCCCCAAAGAACACCTTTCTGCATAAGGAGGGTAATCTGACCACCTTGACTGGAACCATCTTTACGGGTAGCCCAACTAGCATCCGTGAAAGTGACCACTGTGGCATCACCAGTAACAGGAACAAAATCCAAACCACGATTAAAATGTTTTCTTTGCAACCGAACCAATTTATTGACGGAACAAAGATCTCCAACACAAGCTTGTTCAACACATCCTTGCAAATGAGATACCGTGGCCAACATCCAAGGTGCACTTTGAGTTGCTCTCCAGTTCAAAGCTCCCAAAGCTTGTCGCATCAAACGGCGCTCTGAATGAGTCACTGGTTCATACGTTTCGTTTCTACGCTCTTGTGACACATTGATTTCATCAATACTCAGAGCAAACCGTTCTTGGTTGACATGAATAGCAAAATTGAAATCCTGAGTGATTTCACAGCCACAGTACATGAGGCTTTCCTTTTGGGCTTCAGCCCAAGACCCAAAAGTGAATTTTTGTCGAAGTCGTTCCAGACTACGCTTATACTCAACGCCCCGTCCAGCACACAAAACATCATCAACATGAAACCCAAGATACCGACACACTTTGTTGTTTTCATCAATTCGTTTATATAAACACTTATCAAGACTATGGGGAATCCAACCATCATCAATCAAGAAAGTACTGAGAGACTCAAACCAACGCTTTGGTGCATTCAAGAGGCCATAAATAGCTTTTGCAATACGCAGGATTTCATTGTCTTTCATGGACAGGGCAGTTCGCACTTCTGGAGGTGGCATTCCATATAGTTCGTCCTGAAGTTCGGTTTTACCACCTTGCAGGAAAGCTGTTTTGATATCTCCTGAGGCTACGGGAAAGTGTTTCCTGGCAGCGCATGTCAACAACATGTTTCGACCCAGAGTAGAAAGTGTGGGAGATTCTCTGGGCAAGTGGAGGAGTCTAGGATCCTGAAAACCCTTGATGATCAACCGAGCTTTTGCACGTTTCCCAGTTTCATTACCAGCGCTATCAGTGACCACTTTCCAAGTATATATCCAACGCATTTGCATAATGCGTTCCTCTGGAATGCCAGCCGCAGAACAGATTTGAACAGCATCACTGGAAAGAAAGGAGTCAATTTCCTTTTTCATGGCTTCATCAAACTGCTGTTGTTCATGAGGTAAGAGTTTTCTCAAAACAACTTCAGCTCCCTTCTTAACCTTCGCATTGATCACCCAGGCACTCTTTTGTCGGTGGACGTCACGAGGTGCAAGTACTAACTCCATTTGAATAACATCAAGTTCTTGAACATAAGCAGTGAAATTTTTCAACAAGTCACTAGACACATGTTCTCCAGACACTGTCTTCGCAGTGTCCTGACAGCAAAAGGTTGTTCTCACACCTACGGACTCTCTTGAATTCTGGCATCCCTCACTCAGTTCGTGTTCTCCTGGCTCAACGCTCCATGTGGTCCCGACTGCAAGACCGTGAGAATCTGGGCCATGCAGGCTTCCATCTGCGCCATGCGTTGGTGCAGCTGCTCGTTGCCATTGTGGAGGTTCTGAATGTCGTTCTCCATGTTCTCCACCTGGCTCCAATGAGACAGGCTCTCGTCGTCCGGAATGGGCATTGGAGTCAACTGACCCATGGCTTCCAGTTCTGCTGCTTGGCGGGACCCCTCCTTGGTGTGCACCTTCTTCACGTTCGAAGGTTTCAGGGGAAGTTGATGGCTTCCGCTTCCTGGATGTCCCAGGACATTCTCCTCCTCGAGCTCCTGAGCCAGACGACGATGCAGGTAGATCTTGTACTTGTGGATGGTGCGGAAGACTGGGTCGTCGTCCTTGATGTGGCTTGCCACCCAACGGTTGTAGCTCTTGTCCTTGTAGATCTCCTGGAAGAGGTGCCCCTTGTGGCGTTCCCCTTGGTCCATCTTCATCGAGCCGAGGTCTTCGAGCGACATGCTCTGAATCTCCTCTCGGCTCACTTGTCCCTTCTTGTCCTGAAGGTCCAACAGAGTCTTCAGGTCGGCGCTTGGCATCGACATTGCGCTCTCGGGTTGTGTCACCGAATGCTTCGTCAGGATAGCGGAGTTCACTGAGTGGCTTTTTGCCTCGAGCCCTAAAATGAGGAACATCAGGTTCTTGCGTGTCAAGACGTGTCATGGCTTCGACATCAGAAGTCAGATCTAGATACCTTTGTTGATTTTTGATGCCTTCCAACAAATCAAAGAAGTTTCGTGGTCCATTAATGTCCTTGTCCAGATGTCTCAAATCATGCTGCACAGGACGTAGCTGCTCAGGTGAACATCTAAGGATTTTACCAGCATGTGAAATCCAAACGACAGATCCCAAATGTTGTCCAGTTTCATAAGAGGAAGTCTTTTCATGTGTCAAAACACGTGCTGGTCCATGCCAATGTCCCCCATACCGTGATCCCTCTTTCACTCCTCTTCGAAAGTAATAGACGAGTTCGCCCAATTGGAACTCTTTCAAAGGTCGGCATTTCGAATGGAGAGCTCGAGAGAGCCTTCGCTGTGCATCCACTTTCAAAAACAAACGTTGGGCAGTGACCTCAGTTTGAAGATTCTCCTCAAAGGTCAGGTCTTCACGACGTGACTGCAGTGGCATGTTTTGATACTGCTGCAAGAAGGAAGACAACCTACTGTGGCTTTGTCCGAAAGCCCATTGATTAGGACTGTATCCTCGCACCTGATGCATGGAGTTTTTGGCACTGACTGCTAGGGCTAACAACTGATTACAATCACGATCACTCCCAAGTTCCATACTCAACAAATTCATTTGTTCTTTCAAAGTCTGAAGATGTTTGGAATGTTTCCCAGCTTGCCATGCCGACTCTCCCGCAATAGGTTCAAGTTTCATGCCAAACGTTTCCAACCACTCAATAACTTCCACTTTTCTAAGAAACCCTTCTTCATCGTAGCGCAAGCAAGAGGGTGCAGGAAAACACTGGAGCCAGGTCTTCTCAAAAGCCTGTTTGAAATCAGCTCCAGAAATATTTCGAAAAGGTTTCTCAAAACCAGATCTGATGATTGCGGCACAGTGGAAGTCAGTGGCTTCATCCATCATACTAATCCCAATACAGTACTGAGGTTTTTCCCCGGGTTTCAAGGCTTCACGAGGAGTATGCCACCAAAAGGAATCAACACTAACACACTGCCATTTTTCATAGATTTTGGGAACAACAGACTGGCGGACAGTACTTCTCCTACCCCTCATGAGACAATCAGGACAATCAAATTCTTCAGCAAGTTGAATGATTCGGGGTTTGGAACCAGCATCTTTCAACAGCCTAATAAAGGATTCTTTGCCAGGATGACCCAAATTCCGGTGAGCATCACGAATCATTTGTTTATATGCGGCATCATTCCCAGTGTCCTCCTCAGATTCTCTATTATCGTCCCCAGGTGCTTGAGGTTGGTCTTGTTCCTCCCTATCAGGAACGGGTGCAGCATTGATATTGTCCTCAGCACCTGCCACCCCTTCAGCCAAAATGGCGTGAGTGGGATCAAAATCAAAACTGTTGTTTTCGGTTGAATCCTTCACCTCACAGCTTTGAAAAATAGGAAACAAATCAACAACGTCTTGCATCAAGGCTTTGGCAAAACGACGACACAACAAAGGAGGATAAACTGCTGTGGATGAAGTGATGCTACCTTGGATGACGCGGTGTGCTCCAGTTCCATGAATGCACTTTCGTTCCAGAGCTTTTCTGATTCCAGCATGTGTGGAAAACCAACCCCATGGTTTCTTGACAAGTTCACGTGTATCCCTACTACACATGCCATGCATACAACCATGAACAGCAAAACGTTCACCACACAACCGAACCATTTTTCTCATGTCAGGTACCCTCCAGCTCTGTGCATGAAGTGGGTGTTCACCTCCCCCATGGTGTGGTCCCATGTCCGGTATCAGTCCTACACTGCCGTTCAATTCTTGTACCTGAATTTCCAAAAGCCTACGACAGTTCCTTAGCAAACGTCGACTGATCCTACGGCGTTCATGAAGCCGAGACACTTGTTCCTCAGTTCGTTGATTACAATTCGAAAAAGCAGTCCATGGATCACAAGGTGGGCTAACATGAAGGTACCGGGGTTTATATTCTCTGATTAACTTGGCAACATCTTTGAAACCCTGATTGGTGGTGAGATCATACCCATTATGAATCCCAACAGCCATAGCCCGTCCCCCTGCATCCTTCACTGCTTGGGTCAGTGGTGCATCCCAAGGTGCACAAACTTCCAACAAATCCAACGAACTTTCACCTATGAGGTTGAGAATGTCACCCACTCCAGCCAACATGGTATCTTGGAGCTCTTGCGCGCACTCCCGCTTACAGTCACCCATGAATTGGTACTGTGCGTCCCCAACATCATCAGGAGGCTCCACAAAAACACAGAAACCATCATCAAAATTGGTTGCACTGAATTGTGAATCTAGGTTCCTATCTCCACTCAAGACCCTCATCCCATGTTCAGGATGTCCATTACAATCCTGGTGGAGCTGTCCCTAGAGCTTCGGTTCATCCCCCTTTGGGTCCGGATCTGACTCAGGCGCACTCAGTACAGGAACCGCAGGAGGCCACATCTCAGTAGATCTCATCAGTCCACGGCGCCCACCAAAGACAGTGACTGGTAGAAGGAGATGATTACCTGGACTCCTTTCCAGCTGATACGCTTCATGGTTGATGCCCTCAAAGACAGCTGTCCCCTTTCGGAAGTCAATGGTGGCTCGGGAATCATAGAGGAACTTTGCACTGAGCAGCAAAGGTGTACTGCCCTCCACAACATGCACATCGACCATCATCTCATTTCCCAAGACACCAAGGTTCAGGTGTGCAAGTGCCAGAGCCTTGCTACTGTGATCACCACCATAGACAAAGCTCTTGTGGATGTTACGGTCGATCTCAAACTCGTCCTCAGTGTTGAGGCCAAGCTCCTCGTACATGTCTGCGAGATCTTGCAAAGTGTTCACTCCAATCACGTTATCTGAGGCACCACTATCCAGGACAGCCTTGCCACGAAGTTGGTTTTCATGGCCAGTCGTGGCCCAGACCTGTGCACACTCGTCACCTTTATCACATGCATTCTCTGCAGTTGGTTCTTGCCATTGGACACCGACAAAACCCACCTTGCCACTTCCTTTTCCACTTTGGCCTTTGCCATCACTTTGAGCTCGTTGTGGGCAAATACGAGCAATGTGGCCACGCTTCCCACACCGAATGCAGGTCTTGTTGGCATGCTCATTGTCTCGATTGTAGTTCCCCTTGCCCTGAGACTTACCACGACCTTTTTGACTGTCAGGGTGTCTCACAGGGTAAAAACCCCTCGCCGTTCTAGCTTGGTCCAGGGCACGACGAGCATCCTTGAAGTTGGCAAGTATCTCAGTATCATCAGGCTCATCTACGAGTGCAACATAGGCTTCTTGGTACCAAGTGGCCAATTCCTCAAGCTCTTCATCATTGGTGGCGGCATGGCTTTCCATCACATCTTCGTCCACATTCTGGTAGACCTCCCCTTCATCAGGTCGAGAAGGCTCATCAACCAGCAAGGCTTGTCCACCATCTTTTCGGCGACGACGCATCTCTTGATCCTTGGCAGCTAGGCCGCCTCCACTCCACATCTTTTGAAGGGAGGCCACCACGTGTTCCAGCTTGTATGACTCTGAGCGTCCACGAACATTGGCGATGTCCGATGGATCCATCCTCATATAGCAGTTCAACAGGAACCAGCCAAGGACTTCTGTTGGCAGTTTACCTTCTGATCCTGATTCTTTGAGGGCTTTCTCTAATCTTCTGGTCAGACTTCGAAATCTGGGTTCATATTCTGAAAACTCCTCACCGTCCTTGCGGTAGACTTCTTTGCGCACAAAGAACTCGTTGAAAGCATCTCCAAGAAGATCTACCTTTTCACGGCCTCGAGTCTTCTCGAGAAACTTGAGAAAGTACTGCCACCCATCGGGTTGGCGTAACTTCTCTCTGTCAATCTCAGCGAGACTGTCAAAGGCCTTTCCAGTCAGATTGGATGCAAGCCGAGGTCCTAGAAGTTTCTGGTCCTCCTCTTTCAGTCCATCAGCTCTCAACTCAACACGCAGCTGATAGTCCGTCCATTTGTTCCAGTCACCATCCCATGTGGGATACTTGAAGTCCACTGAGTCCTCCTTGTTCCCCATGGTCGCCATGGCTCAGATCTATTGGTGCCTGCCAGGCTCCGCTACCATGCGAGAGCCCCCTGGTCAGGTTCACCAAAGATCGTAGATATGCACAATGCAAGTTCACTAATTTGGGGGCTTCTAATGAATCAGGCACCACAGGAGCACACTGATGGATGGCCGCAAGTCTTTGTTCAGGCAGCGATCAGGTGCTGACCCCACAAAAGGGGGATGGATCCGAAGCTGGCGGCGTGATTTGCTGTAGCATATGTGGCAAGATGATCAACAGCCAATCTCAGATTTTCACCCCCCAATTTGTCAGGTGTCCATAGTCATGGGGGCAGCCACTAATTCTCCAAAATTTAGAAACCTAGTATTGAATAATCCCAAAGTATCCTAATTATCCGAAATTATCCAAATTACCCACAAATTTTAGTATTGAAACCCATGGTTTTAGGGTACTTGCCCTCTTTCAGGGTTTTGCTCCAGTTTTCTGCTAGTTTTATGATGGGCATATCCTGGGGAGATCACGGTTTCCACTCAACGTGATACGATTGGCTCAGAGGATTCCCCATTTTGGGGCGGTTTGGGACCATTGGGACCTGGAAATGTTAGGAAAACATAGGAAAAGCGCCCCAAACTTTGATGGTGGGAAACTGAGAAACTTCATTCATTTTCCCCATGAAACAAACAAACAGCGGTTTTGTTGGGGTGTAATTACCACGCATTTTCGGATGTTGAAGGATACACCCATGCAATGGATACAAAAATGAGGATGTTGAACCTGCAAAAATGGTGGTTTTACCCATAGGGATTCTACTGGCAAGGATGTTGATGAACTCTGATGAACTGATGCACTGATGTAGTGGTTATTTCAGGGCGATCCCCCCTTTTCGGATCAAACCTGGATGAATTCCGCCAGTGATCCGTCGGGGGTTCGCAGGGGATCGGCGGAGCATCAAGATTTTGGGATTGATGTGCTTAGAACATGGATGGAATATGAATTGAACATGAATTACTATCACTTTCCCCCAATTTTTTTGATGGCTGATTCTATCTAATTCTTAATCTTTGCCAATTGCCCAGATAATTTTGATGAACCATCAAATCAAAAGAATTGGCCCTGGCCAATGTTCCAAATGTGTTGATGGCCAAACCAATTTTGCAGCCATCATATTTTCCCCCAAACAGACATAGACCCTAAGTCGGGGATTGGAAGACTACTTTCCTTCTGGTCCTCCTCAGGGTCTATTTTGGTTGGGCTGGTGATGCCTAAGTCAGTAGCTCACAAAATCCTCTGAGTTGACTTACCCTACTTGTTTTTTTGGGGTTATAAGCCACTTAATAATGTAAATCATGTAAATCCCAGTAAATCCCGTGAAATCCAACAGAAATTTCATCGAATTCCATAGAATTCCCAGCAGAAACCTGAGAGGATCACAGCGAAAAACTCAGGCGCGAGCGCTGGGTCATCGCCTGCAACATGTCCTAACCTCGGCGGACACCACAGCATCGCATTGTGTGGAGATGAGAGATTTGCCCGAGGACGGATGGAACATGTTCCTTCTTGGTTTATTCACTCATGGATTAGTGCTTTATAATTTAATGGTTCATATATGGAGGTTTCCTGAAATATGGCTACCCCAAATTTCATCCATTTATTTGAAAATAGCATAAAATAGCATTTTCCATGAAATAAACTCCAGCTATTGGGGGTACCCCCATTTATGGGGGGATATACCTCATTTACCATGGGGCCCGCTCTTCTTTTTGTCGGTTTGTTTAGAAGATCTGGAAAAGATCTGGTTTAATGATATAGTATTTATAGCATTTGTAGCTTTTATGGGTTTGTTTGATTCATAATTTATGGTTTGTATATTACATTCCTGCTATTCTGGTAAGTTGGGGATAAGATGGGAATAGAATGGTACAATCATGGACATGTAATCCATAATTTTCACCAAATATGGGATATTTATAGGATATGGAGATTAGCAGTATATGAATGGTTGAGGTGGTAAAAAATCTGGCTTATTAATAGGATACTCCATGGGATTATTTTTGATGGGGAATCTAATAAATCATGGGATGTATAACCAACAACAGCTACTGTTTTTTTGGGATTGCACAGGTATCACAAAAAAGATCGCAGTGGCTGCGATCTTCCAAGGGTTGGTTGGTGATGAATTATGAACGATTGTACCCTCTGGTAAACTAACGTAACTATGGAAAATCACCATTTTTAATGGGTAAATCCACTATAGATGGCCATTTTCAATAGCTATGTTAAATTACCAGAGGGTAGAGTAACCAATCTTTGGTGTGGATTGATACACCCTTTTTGCATCACAAACTGGGTGGCGGGATGATGTCCCGTTTTTGAAGATTTCTTTCACAGCACTGGAACAATCGATTTGTTGTAGATTACTTTTGCCAATAGTTGGGCCATGTTGAAAAAAAGAACATTTACCACCCCCAGTGATCGCTTGAGGCATGAAAAAAAAACCTTGATTGGTTAGCCATTCGCCAATCACTTTTTGATGCGGGATGGGGGTATATTTAATGGATCACTTGGAGCAGTTCCAGATTGTAGAGAAGGCATATGAGATAGCAACATGGTCGTATATAATCATTTATGTACTCATAACTGCTATTTGAGTATATCCCGACTTGTTGAGGTTAGAACTTGTAACGAGTTCAGTAAAAAAAGGTAGTACCTTGGACCTAGTGGACCTAGCAATTGTCATCAATTTGTAGGATTATTCATGAGAAATTATATAGATCTTTTCGAATCAACCCAGGTTTCTGGATCCACTGTTGGAGAGATTGACCGAAAAAAACTGGAAAGTCTGGGAAAAAACATCATCTGTACCATCCTGGAAACACTTGGAAACACTTAGAAACACTTGGAAACACTTGGAAACTGTCTTGGCTAGCTGGACATCCCCGAAAAAAATGGAGCTTTTTTTTTCGCTGGGATGCTGAGATCCATTTCCAGATGATTTTCCAGCCACGTTCGACGAATTCGATCACCAGAGGATAAACCATGCTGGGAATAAAATGGGGTACTATGGGACAACGTCATCATTTCGGTGACAGCAATGATTGGGCTCATGAAAGGGGCCAAGTTTAATCAGCAACCACATTTTTTTCGGGGCGAATCTAACACATCTATTGAAGAACTGGAGATATTCCTATTAACAATCATCTATTAACAATCATCTATTATTCAGCGAATCCCATCAATCATCTATTGATCATTTACTCCTATCAAAAAATCCTATGAATCATCTAATTACTAGCCATCTATAGCAATTGCCCCCAAACATAGAACACTTAAAATCCTCCTAAACTAGTGATGTTATTTCTATCTTTCTGGCGGATCACGCAGCAATCCCAACAGGTGATATAGATAGGAATGCTCAAACTGGTGATTTCAAATCCTTCTATCTTTCTGGTTGTATTCATCACAAACTTTTAAACTCTAGTGATAAATGACGATTGTTTCCCCCATTTTTCTTTAGTGTTTTTTTTTTTTAAGTCCTCCTATCTTTCAGGACGTAGATCAAGCAATCTTTGCCCCGCGGGCCTGGTGGGAACCGCAGAGCTGGAACTTATCGCCGATTGCTCCGCGGCAACGGACCTCCTTCACCGTCACCCTCAATTTACACAGTGCGACGGGCACAGCTCCGCGCTGGTGACTTGGTCGGAATATGGATGAAATGGTCGGAATCCACGGCTCAGATGATGGCTATGACTATGAAAAGGTAGCCTCTGGTTATGACTAACAGTTTGCCATGGTATAGATGGCCCATTTATACATGGTTTACCTATTAAAAATGGGTGGATCTTTCCATGGCTATGTTAAATAACCAGATGGTAGCACTAAATAAGGAGCTGGCTGAAAAATGAGCTTCAAAATTCCAAATGTTTCATAGTTCTATTAGACTTCATTTTTTTGTGTGCTCCCATCAGCTTCCAAAACACTTTTATTGGTTTTTTATTCATGGCTTGATGTCTGGAAACAGTTTCGCTGCCAGGTTAGCTGCGCTGATTGTTTGTCCCAATGCAAAACGTCGAGCCTTCTGGGACGCCTTCAGTATTTGTTGTTTGCTTCTGGAGTTGATTTTCCTTCCATTGAGCACCTTGGAATCCTCGGAAAGTCAGCCGCGGGAATGTCAAGCTTTCTGATTTTTTTTTTTCACCCTCAAGATGGTGATACATGGAAGTAGATTGCAGATTGCTATCACAAATTGGCACATATACATACACATACTATATATATATATATAATTATATATGTAAACACATTGCATACTAGTGTGTATGTATATATATATATATGTATACACATATGAGGCCCTACGAATAAACTAGGGATTGATTTCTCCTGGGTTTTTAAATGAACAACCTGGCCCTACGAACAACCTGACTTCAGCGAAGAGGCGAAGATCCATGTCCTCCGGTCATTTTTCATATGGGTATGGATCAATACCTATTAATACCATTTTTAGTGGGATGAACATCCATAAATCCCAGCTATTTTGATGTGAACTACAGGGGTACTATTGGTTTTGACACACTGCCATATGGCCATTGGTGTTTTTCCATTCGGAGTTTCACGTGAAAAAAACCCATGAGGATTTTCAATTGCCATGTTTGACCAGAGAAAACTCCGGCAATTTTGCAATCGCTGAGAAAACTCCGGGAACTCTCTGGGGATCGAAGATTTTCTCGATGGGATCACAAAGGATCGGCATCGATGTTTGATTGGTGATTTCCTGCTGGTGACTGGTAGCTGGCGCAAAGCTAGCAGCTGGGAGATCCCAAACCTTTCAAGAGCCAAATCGCGGTCTTTTTTCCCGTGAATTCCATAGAACATGGGTCGTTTTTCAATTCCAATGTCACACAGAAAACAAAAAAAATTCGCAGCAATCGGCCCAAATTTCATGTGTCTTTCTTAGGCGTCTTTGCTGTTGAGTGGCCTTGCTCCCAGCCAACCTCCGTGGAGATCTTCCTGCATGTCTTTTGGCACTTGGACATCTTGATGACGTTCATCACGGCCATCTACTGTCGTGGTGAGTTGGTCGTGGCTCCCAAACGCATTGCCAGAAACTATGCGCAGGGATGGTTATGCTTCGATGTTCTGTATCTGCTTGGTGCTTTTTATTTTCATTTTCATATGATGATTGTTATTGTTATTAAGTCAATCAGATACAATGGGATGTTAGTGGGATGGTAGTGGAATATAGATTTATTTCACAATTTATAGACCAAATTGTGTTATTTGATGTCCAAAAACTATCTTATGATGTCTGATAATGTCTGATAATGATGCCCAGTGATATTCTCTCAGGCTCAACAGCCAGGTACGTTGTTGTGAACTGGGCCAGTCTCTTGGGTTCTTGCTCCAGACACTCACAGCGGTCATGGCTGGTTCTTCGCTTCTGTCAGCTGGCACTGCGCTTGATACGAATCTTGTTGCTGATTTCAGTTGTGGCTTTGTCTAAAAACTGGTGGATATCCCAATAAAAATGGCGATCTTCATGGGGAAGTGTCCCAATAAAAATGGCGATTTTCTAATGGGAAGTGATGATGGAAGAAGTGGATTTGGAGAAGTCCAGCTTTTTCGGACAAGGCCAGAGATGTTTTGTTTTTTTGCACACGACAATTCTGGGATGCTGGGATTCTGGAATTCAACATGATGAGATGATTGCCATCCCATATCAAACCACCATAAACCACCATAAACCACCATAAATCATCCCATATCAAACCACCCATATATGGTGGTTTCTCCCATTTTTGGGTGGTATCCCAAAAAGAGGTGCTGGAATTCCCAGAGTTTTCGTAGTTTTTTTGGATGGCACTAATGATATGGCAATTATATGGTTTATATGGTTTTTATATTACCCATTAGTCAGTTCTTCTCCTTTTTTTTACCATCTGGTTATGACTAACAGTTCGCCATGGAAAGATCCACCATGCCATGCTATTAAGAACGCTATGGCCCATCTATTTCGATTAGGGCCATGGCTTAACCATGGCTAGCCCTGTGAACGTCATAACCAGAGGGTATGCCTGAAATTTCCCAACTCCTCCCATTCCTCCCATTCCGAATGTGCTTCTGAATCACCATGGCAGGACTCTGTCGCCTAAATCAGATGACCGAATCCATCAAGAATCGACTGAGCTCGGAGACTCTGACGGCTGGAAGCAATATCCTTCAGATCACAGGATGGGAACTTTTCTGCTGCATGGAGGGAGTGTTTTTTTTTTAACCGCTTTTTTAAAGGGTATGCAGCCTTTCAGGCAATGAAAATGACAAAAAGGGTATCCATAGTATCCATAGTATCCAAATTCCCAGCCGAGAGCCAAGAGGAGTTAGAGAAAGAATGTATTTAAAAAACTACATAGTTTCAGAGCCATGAGACTGGGAGTGTCAGATCTCATGGGAAATTCGATGAACAGAAGATTTCATGCCAGACACAGGGCCAGAAAAATATAGCGAAAAATGAGGCCAGACAGCAGTGTTATCAGAGCTGGTGATCCCAGGGATCCCAGCGACCCCAGGTCATTCCAGGTTCAGGTCTTGGGTTTTGTTGGAAAATTCTGTGAAAAAAACAGAACCATATGGCAGTGTGTCAAAACCAACAGTACCCCTGTAGTTCACATCAAAATAGCTGGGTTAAAATGGTAATGTTCATCCCCCTAAAAATGGTATTTTCATAGGTATTGATCCATACCCATAGCTTCTCATCACTTCGATCACAGTCGGAAGAGAAAATTGAATGCAGGAACGATTTTTATAAATGCGTTCTATTTCTGGGGAAAGTTTCCACTTACTTCGCTTTTTTATGGTGAACCATCATGGTGAACCGGTGAATTTTTCCAGGCCAAATCCTTTTGGTCCATCATCTTTTGGCATGCGTGTGGTTTGTGGTGGGTCAGCTGGATGAGAAGAATGGCTGGGTGGCAGTTTACTTGAAACAACCTTCGGTGGGCTACAGCTACACCACCAGTTCCTGGCGCCGTTTACAGTGATCATTTTGATTTTTGCTTTTGCATCCGATCTGCCAGTTTTTTTGGGGGAAAATCTATATGCAATCAGGGCGTATGAGTGTGAGATATTATAATATATTATATAATTATATAATTACGTATAATCTATCTATCTATCTATCTATCTATCTATCTATCTATCTATTTATCTATCTATCTATCTATCTATCTATCTATCTATATAGAGATTTGTATAGACGATGTGAGTCATATAGGTAATATTCTGGGCTATTTTTGTGCAGCCAATCCGATCAGGTTTGTACTGGATGTTCTGCCAACTTGGATTTGGGAGCACCAACATCGAACCTGAGACAACCCTTGAAAGAAGCTTGGATGATCGATGTGCCATATGGGTATGGATCAATACCTATAGATACCATTTTTAGTGGGATGAACATTACCATTTTAACCCAGCTATTTTGATGTGAACTACAGGGGTACTATTGGTTTTGACACACTGCCATGTATCCAGGAATGTGTCATGGTATGTCATGGTCAATCCACGAAAAAAATCGGGATGTATTGTAAATGCCATCATGTTTGGATTGACCATATTTTTGATGATGGATGACAACGGATGACCATTTTTACCAACAATAAAACATGATAAAACATGTTTTGATTCATAGTCCATAGCCATTTTTTTAGGCCCAAAGCATCTTGAACTCGGTGGAATTAGCATGGGAAGCAAACCCATGGGACTTACCGTGACTTACCATCATTGGGAGTCGCGAAAAAAAAAGTCAATGGATGAAACCATCATTATATAATAGTATGGTAAAAACCATGTTTTACATGTCAAAAAATTCATATAAAATACCCTAGGAGAAACTAACATAGATGTGGATTTCTATGATTTGTAGATCATTTCCCAAACGGCTAAAACAGGGATTTTCCCATGGGTTTTTTTCCCACATGTTTCGCTCCCAACATCGCCTTAGGAAGCTTCGCACTGATGGTGGCCTTTATGGCGTTGGGCATTTTCTCCAGCTTACTGGGCACCATCAGTGCTACGGTTCTCAATCTGAACAAGTCCATGGAGGACCCCTGGGGACCCCTGGATCTGAACAACCCATAACAACCAAAACGGCTGGGACCGGGGGACCATTTCAGCCATAAAAATTACTGGGGTGACACTTGCTGACATTATCCACATTCTTTTAGTGGTACTCACGCAAAGGTTGAACATCGTGGAAGAAACTTCAAGAGTTGGTTTAGTTCACTTCCCATTTTGCATGTCTTTTAAAGCTGGTTTTAGATTGACGCAACATCAACCCACCATTTCATCCATCCTCAGAATCCAGCCTTGCCACGCAGGAGAAGCGTTTGCACTTCCGGGAACTCAAGCAGTTTCTATCGCACCACCGCATCAGTGATGAGCTGTCACTGCGAGTATGTCCTTTGGCGCATGAAATCCGGGAAGAGATGTCATTATTTCATGGGGATATATGACGATAATATGGATCCTGATTGGTGGTTTGGAACATGAATTTTATGTTTTCCATTCAGTTGGGAATTTAATCATCCCAACTGACTTTCATATGTTTCATTGAATTTTATGACTTTCCATTCAGTTGGGAATTTCATCATCCCAACTGACTTTCATATGTTTCAGAGGGGTAGGTATACCACCAACCAGGATCATATTCTGATTAATGGGGGGGATAATAATATGGATTATATTCTGATATTCTGATATGATATTCTGATATTCTGATTATAATATGTATTATATTCTGGCGGGGGATTATCATATTGCCTCTCATTGGGAGAGTTTTAACTCGGAGGACACCATAGGTTTTCCAAATGAGGGAGGAAAGGAGTACTGAACATGTTCCCTATCATTAGCATTTTCCCTCAAACCAATCCAATGACCAGAAATTGTCCCAAAAACAAATCTGGAAATTGAGAAACTCCGACAAACTAGCTTGGAAGATGATTTTGATAGGACGCCTTAGCTGTTTTTGGATGAATTTCAGGGCTGTTTCCACAAGCAAAATCCCTGGACCCTTTTGGGTATAACACCAAAACTGGTTTGTTCGTCAGAAATCAGATAACCCAAGATATGGGTTACCCGTTACCGTAACATGGTTTTCTTGGAAATCCCAAATTTACCCTTTGGTAATTCAACACAGTTATGGAAAATCACCATTAAAAAATAGGTAATTCATTCATAAATGATCCATTTTCCATAGCTTTTTGTATGTTGACTGGAGGTATTTTCCCATGGATTTTCCCCTTTTTTCAGCCTCCAATCCATGGGATTTTCCAGCCGCAAGGTCGGTTTTTGGAACATGCGTGGGCTTTGAAGAACGAGGCGCGGCAAGCGCGGTATGTATCTATCCACAATGATCACTTTATGTGTTTTTTTGTCCCCATAGAAATTGCAGATTTTTTTCAGAATCTCATGATAGAACAGAACATTTTTAAATCCTAAGCATAATTGATGGCCTACATCTACACCGTTAGACATGTTCTCATTGATATTTCAGCCATATGTGTTCATTTCCAAGGCAAATCTAGGGTCAATGCCAGTGGCTAACCGACGGACTCTGGTGGCTGAACGGACTCGCATGACAAATATTACAAATATTGATAGCGATGATTACCCTCTGGTTATGACTACCCTCTGGTTACTTAACATAGCTATTGAAAATGGCCATTTATAGTTGATTTTCACACTAAAAATTGTGATTTTCCATAGTTATGTTAGTTTACCAGAGGGTAACAGTTTGCCATGGCATAGATGGCCCATAGAAATAGATGGTTTACCTGGGTTTACCGTTCTTAATAGCATGGTGATGGCTTCCATGGCGAACTGGCAATGTCATAACCAGATGGTAGATCAGTAAGGGACAATAGTTGATCTAATGACTAAGATAATTACAAAAAAGTAACCACTAGATCACCATAACTAGATAATAATCTTGATGACAGAAATTCTGTCGATCACCTCTAAGGGAACCAATTCCTGTGCAAGTTCTGCAAATCCCCAACTGAAAGCATCACTTCTGGTGAGAATGAGCCATTTGGTAGTGAAGACCCTCTCGATGTTCTGACCAAAGGTAAAGTCGATGCAACCTGCTCAGATTTGTAGGATGGTAATGATAAGGGTACAATCACTGCGGCAGTGGCAGTGTAATGTTGCCGGTTGACCTCCATTTTTTTGGTCGCTTGAAATTCCCAGAAATCGGCTGGGAAAATCCTGATGTCTCATCTTCAGATTCCAGTGTTCGTTACTTAGATTCCAACTTGTCTTGCTTAATTCACACACTGTTGATGAACTCATGATTTCTGATGCAGATTCTGGCTGGGGATTATCCGGCATTTGCCTGCTATTTACCCTGCCATCGCAGCTACCCTTCAGTAATCTCAAATCAAACAATGGCTTCCAAAATCCCCGAACGAAATGGAGGTTTGTGGCTGGCAACATCATCTATAAATACTATAAATGGCAAAGCACCTACTTATGGAAAAGCATTCAAGTTTACCCTCTGGTAATTTAACATAGCTATGGAAAATCACCATTTTAATAGGTAAATCATTCATAAACGGTCCATTTTCCATAGCTTTTTGTATGTTGACTGGAGGGTACAGCTGGGAAAATCCAGGAACTGTTTGACAGATCGAATTTTTCGTTCAGGTGGTGCTGGAGAGTTCGGTTCAGATCCTAGAGCTTCTCTCTACACCTCTACGCCGAGAGTGCCCCGGTACGGAGTTGGAAGAGGAGGATTCTATGGGTGTTTCAGAACGGTATAACCATAGAACTGAAGATGATTTCTGGTATATTTCTGGTATATTTCTGATTATTTCTGGTTATTTTTATTTCTGAAATATTACATTAAACTATGGTGTTTCTGATTATTTCTGTTAATGAAGGGCGTTTCAGCACCATAGAACCCCGAAGAAGTTGGTATCACTGCCTATGCCATCCTATGCCCACTTTTTTCAAGTGGAACTGCGCCCTGTTTTTGTTGAATGTTGGCTGAATCCCATGATATAAACATGCCGATTTCTTGAACTTGGGACACCGTGACATTGCATGAAGTTGGTACAGTCTAACCCCATCTAACCCCTATGATATCCTATGATTGTCATGTAGCAACTATCCCAAGTTACCCCAAGTTAGCTCCAAAAATTCTCCCAACTCCTCCGTCCCAGCCCATAGTGTCATAGTGCCATAGTGACAGTGCCAGGCTCCGCTACGCCCGCTACGAATCGTGCCTCAAAGAGTTAGGCTTTAGCGCCATGACGCAGCAGCTCTCACTGCAGCTCCACTCGAAGACCCTGGCGGCGGCGGACACCGTCTTTGAGGCTGGCTCTGTGGCAGAGGAGGCGCAACCGATGGAGATGGGGTGGAACATCCGGATCCTAGAACCCAAACATGGCTGGTTTAATGTTTGAATATTTGCTGATCATGGCAAAATCATGCATTCATCAAAACGAGTGACACCTCAGGTCAAATGCAGAAGAACCGACGAATTTAAACAAAACAGAAACAATTCGACTGTTCTACCATTCGGTCTTATGTTCTCTTCATGAAGTTCTACCATTTCATCGGTGCTGTCACTTTCGCCAGGGTTAAAATGTGGCCCATTTCTCCATGTTTCTCCAGCCGTGCGAGGCGTACTTCCTGTCTGAGGGGTCTTTGACCTACACGTGGGGCGAAAAAAAGGTGTCCTTTAGCGAGAAAGACAAGTTCGGATGGTTGGTGGAGATATGCATCTGGACCCCCTGGGTGCATGTGGGAGAGTTATCTACCAGGACTGTAAGCAATGTCGAGAGTATGCAAATCGAGCCTTTCTTTGAATGCATCTGTCGATCGCTAGATGTCTTGCAACTTGCTCGAAGCTATGCAGAAGATTTCGTGGCCAACATGAATTCCTATGCAGCTGTCACAGATTTGTGGCATCCAAATCTTTGTCACCAAGACATTGAGAGGAGTGAGTCTTTGCCACCCAAGGTGCCAAAGAGAAATCTCTTCCTTTCTGGAGATTTTGGATCCGTCGTGCCACTTCAATAATTCAGGTGCCCTTCAGGTTGCGGTCTGGCAGTGGTACACAAAGACACCTGTGTGACATGAATTATTGAGATCATTGAGATCATTGAGATCATTGAGACCAGTTATACAGTTCAACTCGAAGTCTGAGTTGCGAGCTGCAGCGCCATGGACCATTCAACCATGCCAGCGCTCGCCGCATTTTTGAACCACTGCCAGCTGTAAAATTGTGTGATGTAGAGCCATGTAGAGCCCAAGTTCCTTGTTGTGCTTCAGCCTACCGCCAAGCGCGGTGAGGACGTAACCATCTTCCCCGACATTCCCAGACAGGGTCTGAAGGAAAGACATTGAGTCCGCGTGAGCAGTCACCATCTGATCCGGGCCTAATTTGTTCTTCTAGGGGGTTGTTGACGGATACCTAATTCATTGAAGTTTATTTGAGATTGTGAACTGGGCCATGACATATCAACTCGGCATGAGGGGATTCAACAACACGGGGGAACCCTGCTTCTTCTTTCTATATATATGTTCTATTGATACATTTTCGACAGAATTTTCTATTTGTTGAGGGTTTCAAGAAATGATGTTAACAGGAAAAAACAATCAACAAATGACTATTGTTGGGAAAGATGTTGTTGGTTCACAGAACCATGTTAACATCATTTTCTATTTGTTGTTGGTTTTCAGAACCATGTTTTTCCAATGAGCCTCAGGGATGACAGAGGGGATTCCCAACGACTGTCATGTTTTTCAGGGCTTTCAGGGTTTTGAAGATCTGGGGGGGCCCCACTTTTAAGGTGCCAACATGTGCCAACTACCACAGTCGTCAGATTTGAGACACATGGGTGTGGCTCCAAGGAAGAGGTCAATCCGCAAATTCACCAGATTTCACTACTTGAGCCCCACCCATCTCAAGCTTGCGGGGTCAGCAACCGTCAATTTTTGAGTGCTGGAAAACCCTGCAGTTTGGATTAGTGTGCCTTCTGTTTCTCCCCAAGGCCGAGTCAGAGACTGGAATGTCAGCACCGGTGGCATTGAAGTTTTCTTGGTATTTCAATGGCCATCATAGGCCCACAAAAAAACCACATCGAAAAACCATGACCCACCCGGCTCTTGGGGGTTCAATAGATCTCCCTTTTTTGGATTCCACTCCCATCGGTTGGATCCCACCGAGCTCCCCAGCAGCTGGGGCAAAAAAATGCAAAAGTCACAGCTACAGCTGCGGTCATGACAGGTGTCGATATGAATTCTTGTGATTTTGACCAAGAATCATGGGAATATGGTGAAATATGTGCCAAACAATCCATATTATTCATGGCTACATCCGCAAACCTGGAATTTGTGCTCATGAAAATGTCGATGTTACAGCCAAACGATGCGCAAATTGTGGAACCGGAGCCACTTTCGGATACTTCATGCACATTTATTTCTCCAAAAATCGCACTTCTGCTGATGTAGATCTCCATGTCTTGCTGGTCATATCCCACAAATGTCGATCAAATTTGTCAATTTTTTGTTACCCTTTGGTTATGACTAACATAGCCATGGAAAATCCATTATAAATGGAAGTTTCTAATCGGAAAATCCATCTATTTCTATGGGCCATCTATACCATAGCTATGTGAAATGAGGGCAAACCTCCAGCATCGCCAGGTTCTCCGAAATCGGACGAGTCGTAGACGCGGGTCGCAAAAAAAACTACCCTGCACCTGGCTCTATCTTATTATGGTGTTTTTCCCCTGTAGATGATATATATGTGTAATTGTGTGTATATCATATATATATATAGGTGTATATATAATTATCATATACATATATATATATATATTTATATATATATGTATATATAGGTGTATATATAATATATAGTAACCCAAAAAAGATAGAAAAGAAAGATCCTACCAAAATAGTGATGAATTACTGTTCCATCTTTTTGGTTCTTACCATGTGCTTCACTCCTTGAAAAGACTCATTAGATCATTGCGACCAATAAACATCCAGATGTTTAAAAAAATCCGTGGTTGAACATAATATCTATAATATTCCAATATCTTTAATGGTTAAAACCTTATAAATCATATTAAATCACGGTTAGATTGGCTAAGTTGGTGACTTTAAGTTGGTAATCTGCGACAAAAATCGATTGCCGTGGACGATCTCAGGTGGAAGATTTGCCCACACAAAGGCTGCCTGACTTCGAGGAGACGATGGCGGTGCCATTCACCCATCGAAGTGGCGATGGTTATGACACCTACCCTCCAGTAAATTAACAGTTGGACCATGAAAATCACCCATTTTTCCATGGTTTCACTAGTCTTCCAACCCCGACAACTGCCAGGGTCCAACTGTGAATTTACCAGAGGGTAACTGTCATAACCATAGTAGATGATGCAGACAACCATCATAACAAACTATGGGCTATGATGGTTATATTACGGTAACAACATTTAAATATGTGGAGGGCGGGCCAGACCGCGAGGCCCCGGAGGTAGTATGAAATACCAGTTCGTATGTTTAAATGTAGTTACCGTATGTTTAAAAGAATTGCAGTCCGTATGTTCAAATGGCTGGGCCGGCCAAGGAAAACCTTCCCGGAGGTAGTCTAAAATACCTGTTCTTATATTTTAAAGACCGTATATTTAAATGTAGTTGCCGTATGTTGTATTCATGGCCCATAACTATCAAAACCATCATAGCCATCATAACTTCAATTCGCAATGGGCCGCATCTTTTTTTCCCACAGAAAATCATAGAAACAGTGAAACTACATCGTGATCTGAGAGGCAAGGGGTGTATCACCGATACAAATCACCGACTGGAGGATGTTACCGATGGGAGAGTTGGGCGGTTAGATCAATGGGAATTCCAGGATCCGAAAATGGAGGTTCTGTACCATATAAGGCAATATTTTGCTGGGATATTCCCTGAAATTTAGGCCTTATATAGGCCTTATATATGGTAGGTACCTCCATTTTAGGATCCTGAAATTCCCATTGATTATATCAGTTCTGGTAAAAAAACATCACAGAACTTACCAGAATCACATGGGATCACCGCAGAAATCACAGAGTTTCACAACGTGCCACGGCTTGCGCCAGGAGGCGGCCAGCCTCCCAGCCACTCAGAAGCTGACGGAGGTCCTGCTATAATCATCCACCAATGGGGTTTTTGAACACCCGATTGGGGTTTGAAATTCATCGGCTAGTCTTAGGTATGTTGATATATACATAATATGTATATATATATATAATATATATATATACATATATTTATATATATATACATATATATATAATATATATATACATATTTATATATATATACATATTTATATATATACATATATATATATACATATCCATAGTCTTCAATGAACTTCATGATGCAACTGGCATTTGAGACCCATGCTTTCAGGAGCCTTTGGTTCCTACTCAGCAGCTGGCTGAGGCCATTTCGGTTTTAGGGATAGTCATCCCCTCAACTTGATTTTGTTTTTTTTCTGTAGGGTGGGTTGTTTTTCGCAACGGTTTTTGGCGGGTTTGTATGTCTGGTTCGGGATGAATATGGATAAATGTTGCGAATGCTACAGATGTTTCCTCAAAGAAACTCTGGAAGATCTGCTGGCAGGACGTGGTACATCCGACACAGCTGGCTCAGGAGAAGCAGTGGCGGTTCAGTGCATGATGGGTTTGACCGAACATCTGGGGTCACCCCAAAATTGCCATTCTCATGGTGTTTTTTTGGTGTTCACATTATTTTTTGCTGGAAATCTTGGGTGTGCAAGGGATACCCTACTTTCATACAAGGCCATGAGGGTAAAGTTTACCAAGTTTACCCAGACCCGCTGGGTCGCTGATAGCACCAAGGAGACAAGCTCGGAGCATTCCCCAGCCTTGGAGGCCTTTTTATGTGGAAATGGATCTACAAACCATCCATGTTTGTTTTAGTATTACTATCTGGTTATTTAACATAGCCATGGAAAATCACCATTTTTAATAGGTAAACCATCTATAAATGGGCCATTTTCCATGGCTATGTTAAATAACCAGAGGGTAAACGTTTAAAAACCATCTTGAAACACTGGAATCAATGGATCTACAAGTTGTTGGTCAGTTTTTGTATTTAACCATCATTAACCATCATTAACCATCATTTTCAATCTGTATTTAACCATATTTAACCTTTTTCTTGGGCTCATTTGAATCTCCATTCGCATCTCCATTCGCCCACGGTTGTGTGACACAAAGACTTGATGCAGATCGCCACTGGTACAACCAAACTCCTACATTTCATGGTCTCTTTGGGAATTACAACATATGGATGTTTCCTGAAATAGGAATACCCCAAATCATCCAATTTAGTAGGATAAACCATCCATTTGGGGGTACTTTTGGAAAATGTGGGTAAAACAAGAATAAACCACCCATATGTTGATGGTTTATAGCACCTGTTTATGGTGATTTGGGGGATTGTTTATTCTTGTTTTACCCACATTATTACAGATGTAAAGTGTTTTCTTGGAAACCCTTAAAGAACTTAACATCACTGAACCTTGGAACCTTGGAGTATGATAGCCTCAGTTGCTGACTTCTTCCATAGAAATCTGTGGATTTCTTTCAAATTCTGATGGATTTATACATATTTATACCTCACCATAGTTGATTTATAGATTTATAGCTGACTTATGGCTAATTTCTAGCTGATTTATGGCTGATTTCTAGCTGATTTATGGCTGATTTATGGTTGATTTATAGCTGATTTCTAGCTGATTTATCGCTGGTTTATGGCTGATTTTTATTTGGTTTATGGCTGATTTCTAGCTGATTTATAGATGATTTATGGCTGATTCATAGCTGATCTATGGCTGATTTATGGCTGATTTATTCATCATGGAAGATTTTCCCCATTTTACCAGGCACCTGAAGTGGATTCGGAGCTTTCAATCTCCCAAACTCAGCACATGGAGCCGGAGATGAAGGCTCGAGGTGTGGAGTGGAGTCTGAAAATGCCATGCTTTTGTTGGTTTACCCTCTGGTACTTATTTCATAGCTATTGAAAATGACCTATTAGTAATAACAGC